CTGGAGCACGCCTGGATGCTGTCGGCCGCAGACGGTCACTGGGCCGGCCTAGAAGCGCTGCTCGCCTGCGAACCCGGCCTGCTGGCCAAGCGGGACTTCATCACCGGCTTCACCTGCCTGCACTGGGCCGCCAAGCACGGGCGGCAGGAGTTGCTGGCCACGCTGGTCAACTTCGCCGGCAAACACCGGCTGCCGGTGAACATCAACGCGCGCACGAGCGGAGGCTACACCGCCCTGCATCTGGCAGCCATGCACGGGCACGTGGAAGTGGTGAAGCTGCTGGTGGGTGCCTACGACGCCGACGTTGACATCAGGGACTACAGTGGGAGGAAGGCCTCGCAGTACCTGAGTGTAAGCGTCGCCGAGGAGATCAAGAGCCTGGTGGGCGCCCTGGACGAGGAGGAGGAGGTGGACAGCACCACCGGCAGTGGGGGCGGACGCTGGAGGCTGTCGAAGGTGCTCCCTGCACACCTCATCACCTACAAACTCTCTCACGTCCTGGAGGATGGAGACCACCACCACTTAACTGAAGGGTGGGCTGGAGGCAAAGCCAAGGATCGCAAAGCTTCAGGCAGCTCTAGTGGGCGAATAAAACCCAGACTCAATAAGATCCGCTTCAAAACCCAGGTCATCCACAGCACGCTCTCTTCCCGGGACCCTGAGCAGCCGCTGGAGGAAGAGGAAGAGGAGCGGTCCTTTAGAGGCCACTCGTCCTCTTTCAAGTTGAGACCCAAGTCCAATGTGTTTGGATAAAATAATCTTTTAACGAAATGTTAGGTTTTGTGTGGCTTCAGGATGGAATACTAGGTGTGGGTGAGGAAGAAAGACCAGAAAAGACAGGAAAAATTATGCCTTCCTTCTTACTTGAGGGGCTGGAGTGAGTTGGAGAAATCCCTTCAGGCCAGTACTCTGGGGGAAGTGGCTTTCTTTTTACGTGATTCATCAAATACTGATCTGTGCCTCTTGCCCAGACCACCACTGTAACTTGAAGCTCCTGTGTCTACGGACTAGAAATGTGCTAAATTGGGGAACAGAATTGATGAATAGGAGTTCCTTTGCTCTAACCACTACTGGATACATCCAAAGGAAGGAGTAGTGCACTTTTATGTATCTGTTTTTCCAAGTAGCTACTTTTTCAACAGCAACAAAAAATGCAAAATGTAATGAAACTGGTAGCATTTGTAAGTGTGAACAAAACTGCATGCTACCTTGTTTTTTACTAATTGCATTTGATTTTTAAGGTACTACTGAAGGACAGGTCTGAGATGAGTTTCGAAAATACTAATTAAAAAATAATGTAAATAAAAACGGGAATCCTGTTGGTATCCTATTTGTATTGTAAGTAGCGGTTCAGTTACTTTTTTAAAAAAAGCAATTTCAGTTTTAATCACTAAAGAAATAGCATTTACGTTTGAGTTAGTCTGTACTCTGGTTTCCACCTGTTTATCCAGCACTGCTGCACTCGGTGTTATGGGCCATTATTAATAACTACCTAAACTTCTATTTAAAAGGACGCCTAGTCTATGGTACTTTTAAATAAAATATTGCCTCTTTTTCTAATTGTCATTAACTTGTTCTTCTATTCTAAAAGTCTAAATTTGCTAGGATTTTTATGCTGGGGCTCACATAATTTTGACTGTATTTGGCAGAACGTAATGGTGCTTAGGAAGAATTACTTAACAGAAACTAGTGGGTTAGGGTTAAATTTGTAAAAGATGATGTGTTAGTGAGCCTGTGCTATGAAGTACTTATTAAGTCAACTTAAAGATTCTTGTAAGACATTTTTTATTTCAGTAATGCACTCATAGTTTATGTGCTTTGCAGCAACATTTTGCAAATGTTTAAAATGCTAAATCTTTCAGTTTTTCAGTTTCTTTGCATTTACTCAGAGCTATAGTTACTGAAAAACTGGGTGGTAAGTCTGTCGGGTTAAAAATGGCACTTTATAAAAGGAAAAGGGAAAAAATACAACTATTTCTGTATTTAAATGCTGCTAGCTATTCAATTCATTCGTATGTAAGTGAAAAGTACCACTCATAAGTAAAGGCTTTTTATTTAAAGAGTGGTTCTTAATTACATTTCATTATTTGTGTTAAAGTAAATAGCTTTATAATTAAAATTTTACTAACAGGTACCTTAAGCCCTTTTATAATAAGCTAAGACATATCTGTGGAGGGTTGATTTGACAATGTCCTTTTCTCAAATCTTTTTAGTCTCCTGAGTGCTGACACCAAAGTTGCTAGTACAGCCTGCCAGAGACAGGAGTCAGTTGCCGAATGCATGACTCCACACAGGGAGTGTGGAGAGCAGCTGCATTTAGGATTCTTAGATCTTTAATTTTCCAAGTCACAAAAATAACAAGTAACAAGTTTGTAACAAATTTGCCATGTCACTACCTGCATGGCAATTGAATTTGTTTAAAGAGGGGTGAAAAAATTTGCAAAATACATGAACTATAATCCATTTGTCTATTTTTGTTTTAGGATTTTGGAAATGGGCCATGTACATTTGAAAAGCACTTTTATTCACACATGTGGGTGAAAAACCAACCTAGTTTTGTGTAAATTAAAATAGGTTCATTGAGGGTGAAAAGCAGTCATTGGTTCTTAATCTACAAGTGCAGAATAGGTAGTGCAGTAGGTAGTGCAGAATAAGCTACACCTTCACAATGAGGAATCTTTAATTTCATAGACATGTAAAACTAAAGCAACTGTAGACTCTTCAGAACCATCTGTTGGTCATTATTAAACTCCTAAACTATATGTTAGTAATTAATTGCACTAAATCTAATTTGCTAGATCTTTGGAAACTGAGTTACTTTTTTACATTAAAGATTCTAACTTTTCTAATAAAATAATCATTTAAAATTTCCAAAGTCATTCCTGGAGGACAGCTGTGGTATGATGTGCTTGTGTATAGTAAGTGTAGCATTTTCAGCTACTTACCTCTACATTCCTCATATGTTTCAGTTAATCACAATTAATAAATAATGATTTGTGTAATTTGATATTCATAGAGTTGTGCCTATCATTAATGAATATATGTCAAACACTTGGGTGTTACTCACATGTGACTGTTTTTACATGAACATGTCCACGTATTTTTTACAGGTACTCTTGAAACTAGTGAATGTCACTTTTTATGGTATGAAAAAATGCAGCTGGCTTATATAACTTAAAAGTCCGGTACTAGTTTGTTCATGCCTGAAATTGAGTCCAGGATGCCTTGTCTCTCACATTTTTAATTAAGTGGAAGTTTGACAGTTTCAGAATGTAAAATCAGTTTTTAAAGTGCATTTTTGTCAAAATAAAATATTCATACTAGAATGTGTCTCTGAATTGTCTAACTTTCTGTAGTCCCGTATTCATCTGATGTCATCCTGTTTTATGGTTCACAAAATGCATCTTGAGGTTTCAGTTTGACCCTTTCCTACCCCTCTCGGGACAGGCCAAATATCCCTAATTGACAGGAAATGTGTTAGGATCACAGGACCTGAAGGGAAGATCCTGATGTGATGTTATCCTTCTTGCACTTTGGATTGCTATGTTTTGGCGGAAACTTTTAGTAGCGGTAAGGAGGAATCCACTTGAAGAGATGGTAGTGTCACTGCCACTTCCTTTTAGAAACAGAAACCTACTTGGGTACACGTGTGTTGTAAGCCCACCCTGACTGGGCCTTAAGACAAGTGTGGGAATGCCTTTTTTCACTTTCTCCAGCATCCATCAAACAATGGATGTTAATGATTCATTTCTTCATCAAGATGGTATCTAAATAGTTTGCAACAATCCATGTCTCTCAGAGAGCAAAGAAATGTGGGAATCCTTGGCATAACTGAATCCTTGGTGTGATTGCTCTCTTAGGGAGAAATGACTGCTGGAGTTTGTGTTCTTTTGTAATAACCCATAAAATGTGTTTTGCTGTAACTAAAGAACTAGTAAACAATTTATTTCTAGAATGATGTTTTCAAAGTATCTGTCTTGAAAGGATTCATTGGATAGTTCAAGCAGTTGAAGCTATCTCTGAAGATTTTTCTTAAAGAATTTTGTTTTGCTAAGTAAATAGCATTATTTGGAGTTTCTTATATGAATAACCCCCAAATTAAATGCTTTGAGAACTTGCTGGAAACCAATGCTTTTTGAGGGTGAGTGAAGCCCTCATAAACTATTTATTAGGGGACTAGAAAACAACTCCATCTGAAAGTGTTTCTCAGGATATAGCAATAGGTTCTTTACATCACTCTGCTGCCCCATCTCCTTCAAGAGGTCGCCATACTTTTTTCTTATGATCCCTATGTCATTTCATCTCAGGAAGTAGCTTAACATGCTGTTAATAAGTTGCCTGCTTTTCCAAACTGATGTGTTGGTGAGGAAAGTGTGTGGCAAGTGCCCCTGTCATGCAGTGCCTGATGTGTTGAGGATATTCTGTAAGAAAGTCTTTAAATGGAAAACATTCAGTGTTTCATAGCATTGTGTAACATGGTAATTAAACTGCATGCATTCATGCTAAGTGAACAAAGATAAGAACTTTTCATGCAACACAGTTCTTAAATACAAACCTATGGGGAGCAACTGAAGTGGACATTCATCCCACATGCAGGACTGGAGCAAGGCCAGTCCCCAGAACAAAGCTCCAGAGGCGAGCCACATGAATAATCTGCTCCTGTCCAGAAAACACTGGGTACCCAAGGCAAGCCAAGCAGACAGGTTGCTAGGCAGAGGGGTGTCACATGACATCAATGGGCTGAATGTATAAATAAACGTGCTTCAGTGGTTGAGAAGTTCTTTTTTCCCATCAAGAGAGGAGGCCCCACCTGACCTCAGCTTTCTGCATTTGGACTCGTCTTTATTTCTTCATCCTCCACTGCCCTTCACTCCCACAATTTCTAGAGCTGTGCTGGATGGACATGACACAAATCCACCTCATCAGCGGCTCAACCAAAATAATTTACTTACTTATTATTTTTGTGTTGTTTTTATTTTAAAGAGAAAAGAAAAAAATAACAGCCAAGACAACAACAAATGATACAGAATTTCAAAACAAGGTGATAGAAAATTAACAATGGTTGTTTTATTACACGTTGTCATCTTCAGCAAAGTTTCTCACATTACCAGATGTAAGAATGCAAGATTGATCAAACAATTAAAAAGAATAAAAAATAATAAAGAACCATTAGAAGTAATACAGGGTTTCACTAATCAAGATAGTATGGATTCAGCAATGGTTGTTATATTGCATATTGTTGTCTTCAAATTAGTTGCTCAGATTACCAGATATAATCATGCAAAACAGGTCAAAAAACAAAATTTAGAGCTCCCATTAAGCATTAACTATTCCTTTCAATAAACCAACAGACATCAGCAGTACAATTATACCAGCTATCCTTGTATACCCATATATATTTTTCCCTTTCTTTCTTTTCTCCTTTCCCTCATCCAAGTTGTTCCTTTCCTTTAAACAACTTCTTTCCCTTTCACAATATCTATTGTATTTTTGGGGATTTATTTACTTTTTCAGGTTCTTACACTAAGGAAACAATATGTTTACATATGCGAGACTGATTTATTTCACTTTTGGGTATAGTCTTTAGATCTTTGTTTTATTTGATTTATTTCACTTACAGGTGTAGTCTTAGATCTTTGTTGCATCCACTTTCCTATAAAAGCCTGAGTTTATCTTTTTTCTTATAGCTGAGTAATACTCCATTGTATAAAAAGACCACATCTTTCTTTTATCTATTCCTCAGTTGATGAGCATTTGGGTTGTTTCCAAGGTTCAGCTATGACAAATTGTGCTGCTATAAACATGGGTGCACATATATTGCTATGGTATGATGTTTTAAATTCTGCTAGAAAAATACCCAGAAGGGGAATAACTGTGTTGAATGGGAGCTCTAATCCTAGTTTTCTGAGGAATCTTCACATTGATTTCCATAATGGTTGTACCAGTCTACATTCCCACCAGCAGTGGAAAATGGTTCCTTTTCCCCGCAAAGCCCCTCCAGCATTTGTTATTGGTTGACTTCTTGATGATAGCCATTTTTCTGGGGTGAGATAGAATCTCAGTGTTATTTTAATTTGCATTTCTTGAATGATCAGTGATGTTGAACATTTTTTCATATATTTGTTTGTCATTCATATTTCTTCATCTGAGAAGTATGGGGTCTGATTTTTTAAATTCTTTATATATTCTAGATAGAAGTCCTTTGTCTGAGGAATAGTTGGCTAAAATTTTTTCCCAATTCATGTGTTTTCTTTTTACTCTGTTGGTGATTTCTTTTGATGTGCAAAAATTTTTCAATAAGATAAGATCCCATTTGTTGATTCTTTGAAGTATTTCCTGTGCAGTTTGGTTTTTGTTCATGAATTCTCTGCCTACCCCTACGTCTTTAAGATTTCTACCTATTTTCTCCTCCAGTAGCTTTAGTGTTTCTGTTTTAATATTTAGATCTTTGATTCATTTTGACTTTAGTGCATGGTGATAGACATGGGTCTAGTTTTAGTCTTTGACATGTGGAAAGCCAGTTTTTCCAGCACCATTTATTAAACAGGCTATCTTTCTTCTAGTGAACATGTTTGGCCCCTTTGTCAAAGATTAAGTGGCTGAATGTGTTTGTAGTTGTGTCTGCATCCTCTAGTCTGTTCCATTGGTCCTCAGGTCTGTTTTTTGCCAGTACTATGCTGCTTTTATCACAGTAGCTTTGCAGTATAATTTCAAATCAGGGATTGTGATGCCTCCTGCCTTACCTGTGTTGCCCAGGATTGCTTTTGCTAGTCTGGATGTCTTCTGGTTCCAGATGAATTTTAGGAATGTTTTCTTTAGATATGTGAAGTATACTAATGGTATTTTAATTGGGATTGCTTTGAATCTGTACAACAATTTTGGGAGAATGGCCATTTTCACAATGTTGGTTCTTCCTTTCCATGAGCAAGGAATATCTTTCCATTTTCAGAAAATTTTCTTCAATCTCTTTTTTTCAAAGTACTGTAATTTTCACTGTATAGCTCTTTTATTTCCTTTGTTAGATTGATTCCTAAGGATTTCAATTTTTTGGATGCTGTTGTGAAAGGTGTGGTTTCCCTAATTTCTCTCTTCTTCTGTTTGTTGTTTGTGCACAGGAATGCTACTGATCTTTGAGTGTTGACTTTGAATCTAGCTATGCTACTGATTTGGTTATTAAATCTGCAAGTCTTTTGGTGGAGTTTTTGGGGTCTTCTATGTAGAGTATGATGTCATCTGTGAATAATGATAATTTCACTTCTTCCTTTCCAATACTTATTCCTTTTATTTCTCTCCCTATCTAATTGTTCTGGCTAATGTTTCCAGAACTATATTGAATAGGAGTGGTGACAGTAGACACCCTTGTCTTGGTCCTGATTTTAAAGTGAAAGCTTTCAATTTATGTTCATTTAATATAATGTTGCCTGTTGATTTGTCATAGATGGCTCTTATCAGAGTGAGGTGAAGACCATCTATTCTGATTTTCTGTCAGGTTTTTATCATGAATGAGTGTTGGACTTTATCAAAGGCTTTTTATGCATCTATTGAGATGATCATGTGATTTTTGTCTCTGGCTTTGTTGCTATGGTGTATTACATTTATTGATTTACATATATTGAACTATTCCTGCATTCCTGGGGTGAATCCCACTTGGTCATGGTGTATAATCTTCTTGATGATTTGCTGCATTCTGTTTGCTAGTATTTTATTGAGAATTTTTGCATCCATGTTCATTAGAGATACTGGCCTGTAGTTCTCTTTTTTGGCTGGGTCTTTCTCTGGTTTTGGTATCAGGGTAATATTTGCCTCCAGGAATGACTTAGGGAGAATTGCTTTCTTTTCAATTTCATTAAAGGGTTTGAGAAGAATTGGCATTAAATCTTCTCTAGATTTCTTGTATAATTCATCTGTGAATCTTTCAGGACCTGGGCTTTTCTTTGTTGGTAAGTTTTTAATTACATTTTCAATTTCATCAACTGATATTCAGTTATTCAGAATTTTTATATCTTCTTGATTCAGCTTTGGTAATTAATATGTATCTATGAGTCTGTCCATTTCTTTTATGTTTTCCAGCCTGTGAAAGTAAAGATTTTTGAAGTAGGTATTGATGATCTTCTGAATTTCTACAGGATCTGTAGTGATTTCACCCTTTTCATTTCTTATTGCATGAATTTGAGTTTTTCTTTCCTTTTTCTGATAAGGTTGGCTAGGGGCTTATCAATTTTATTTATTCTTTCAAAGAATCAACCCTTCGATTCATTAATTCTTTGTGTTATTTTCTTAGTCTCCATTGTGTTAATTTCTGCTCTAATCTTTATAATTGTCTGCC